TAGACAAGTATATGAAAATATCTGAAAGGAGCGAAGTTAAGTGTGTAGATTGTTTTTGCACATGTATCTATTATGAAGTTTTTCACAAAGAATATTTGTGTAACCCTACTACACGTGATATTGAAAAATTATATTTGGCACATGAACGAGACATGGTCTACCAGGAATGATCAGTAGCATTGATTTTAAGTATTCGGGGTGGAAAAAACAATTCAAATGTATGGCATGATCAATATACACAAGATGATATATATGAACTTACCATGATATTGGAAACTGTTTCATCTTAGGTTTTATGAATTTGACATGTGTATTTTAAGGTTGTAGAGTCTAACAATGACCAAAATATTCTTCGCCAGCCTTTCGTTTTCAACGATATAGAGATCGGGCGAGCAGTTGATATTTACTTCATGGTAAAAATATAATTTACGAATATTATTTGAATTTCGGTATTTTATTTCTATGGTTTTTTTTAGTTTCTTAGGTTTTGTGTTTTTTAAATTTATTTATGCACTAATTTTATTTTAATTAAACATCAAGCATTTTAATTATATTTTCATTTATATTTTAATTAAAAGATGATGTGTATTGGTAGGTAAGATGATATCACACCATATTTGTCTTAGGTGTTCTTTTTTTCTTTTCTTTTTTCTTTCTTTTTAAACCTCTTCAGACCACATTTTGTTGTGTGACGCAAAACACACACAACAATCGTCATCTCACAACAGTTTACTTTTCGGAAGTCTTCAGACTACAAAACATAAGCGCATGTTCAGTGTTGTCACTCCCCGTCCAACGGCGGAAACACTGAGGTTGAGACTAAACATTTGGATCATAGTCAACAACATATAGTGAAATAATAACTGGATTCATACGACATTATATTCTTCCGAAATTTGAATATGATGAAACACATTATTTAATAAATCCATAAGCGTTAAACGCAAAATATAAGTTCCTTCAAACATGAAAGGTGTTGGATTAGGTGTCTAAGCCCATAACTATTTTGATATGTACTTGACCCGATGATGATCATAGTCATTTTGGGTTGCCTTCACCATATCAACTGATAGGATGAATTAAGGAGAAAGATGATTAATTATGATTTATTAATATATTATAATAATAATATATTAAAGGAGAAATCATATTGTTTAATTAATATTAGTCAAGAATTAATTAAGAATTAGTTTTGTGACTAGAAGAGATTAATTAAATAAAAGGGATTAATATTGCAATTATATGATAGTTGCGAATTGGGCTATGGAAAGTGCATTGGACGAAATCAATGGGAAGCCCATATGTATTTCGTACATTGGCTTTCTAGAGGGACTCCATGGGTTGCTTAAGGCCTAAGCAGAGAATTAGGGATTCACCTGAAACCCTAGCAGTCTTCACAAGTATATTAATTCGATTATTGTATGCTAGATCTAGGCTTTATGAGCTTCGGATGATTATTGCATGTTCATTAAACAAACTAGATCCAAAGCTTTAGGGTTTGCATGTACACCATATGATTGATGTAGTACTCAAAACCCATTAGTGGTATCAGAGCCTAGGCTGTTTGTTTGATGTATTTGATGCTTAATTGTTCACTACTTGCTTGAAAATCGAATTTTTGGGTTTCTAACTGGTAGAATCGCCGAGTCCATGAATAGACTCGACAAGTTCCATTGTGGACTCGACGAGTCCAAGGGTTTGTTGCCGGATTTTTTGATTTTCCTGCCAAATTTTGTTGAGGATTGCTTCCAAAACTCATTTTTATTGCCTAAAATCAATTTTTTAAGTCTGCAATGGTTATCCTCATCAAAATTGATGGATTTGGTTAAATATGGATAATATAGGATTAATATTTGTCAAATATTTTACCTAGTAAGTTTGAAAAGTTTCAATTTACACAACTTAAAAACAAATTCAAAACATAAAATAATTTATCAGCTATTTGTGGCACGCCAAGTACAACCTTAATCTATTGTGTGTGCTTATTAACAAAAATCCGATGTATTACTTTGTTTAATATATAAATTTGAACCTTATAATTTAATCTTATAAGTTATTATAGGTACATTTATGAACGGATAATAAAAGGTTTTAGAATCTTTTAAAGATTTCTTATGACAAGAAAGTAAACATTTTTTTTGTAGTAAGGGTCCATCAATTAATAAACTGCAGCCACTAAGATTATAATAATAATAATAATAATAATAATAATAATAATAATAATAATAATAAAGTGTCTTCAAATTGTGCATGTTGTATTGGGGTCCAATGAAAATTGAAAGCCCTACTCACAAGCTCTTGTCTACTTTTGGAATATTGCACCCATTTGATGAAAGGGAGAACACCGCCCTCTGTTTTCTCAATTTTCCATTATCTTTCTCTCTTTCTCTCTTTTTTTTTCTTTTTTTCCCTATAGTGCACCAAACAATTAAAATGGACCTTAAAAAGTTGGTATACATATCATGATAATATAGAGTGTTAGTTGATGATAATACATATGTGGTATCAAGTTATTTTGTTTGTATATGTTACATTAACTTTATATAAAAAAACGTATAGCATATTACACCAAATATATTAAGGGTGTGTTTGAGAGTGTTTTTTATTTCAAATGTTTTTTTTTTGGTAAAAAATACTTATTAACTTATGACTTTTTAAAAAATAAATTTTTAAAAAATGTTTGGGTTAGCTTTTATAGTAGAAAAAGCAAAAAATATCAATAAATTGGTTTTAAAAAGTGTTTGGTTTAACTTTTTAAAAATAAAAATTGAGAAAATGCTCAAAAGCTAAAAATCCATCAAAAGCTAGAATTTTATAACTTTTTAAAACTCTCTTATTTTGTATATCCAAAAAATTGTTTGAAAAACGTTTTTAAACAACTCAAACAGTTTTTTAGTTTATTAGCTTTTCGTAAACATATCATATAAGCTCTTACAGCACACCCTAAACCGCATAAGAGACTGAGGGACGATGTTCATTGCGATAAAAAATGTCATATAGTAAAAAATAAGTTAATATTTTTCAAAACTGCTTCGATCATTTTTAATAATAATAATAATCTCACCAAATTAGTGATCGAGCTCAGATTAAGATACATATGGTGTTTTACTGTGAGTTTGGAATTTCTTTATTTAACTTGTTTATTAAATTAATTTATTTCGGTTTGATAATGTTAATAAATGTAAAATATTTTTATGTTTTTAAATGAAATACAATAAAAACTATTTATTTACTTAAAAAAGTTTCTTTTATTTATAACTTTTGTTAGTTGTTTTACTTTATTTGAAAATGTTTATTATAAGTGGAAACCAATCGACCGCTTTATAATTCTTTAACCCTCTAAAACCATATGGATTGTAGCCTTTTTTTTCATGAGCAACATGTATACCAATTCAAATATTTATTTATCCTTTCTTAAGTTTGTTTTGGTACGAAAAATAAAACATAATTTTTTATGTCAAACAAAAATCACAGCTGTTAAGATCTCGATCTTTATCTTAAGATCTTTTCATTTTAAGATTTTACAAATCAAAAACGATTCCGATCTCAGTAGGACCTATATGAAGCAAGATCTTAGGATGTCGAGTAAGACTTTAAAATATTAACACCATCCAATCACAATATCTCTCTAGTTTTATTATATAGTTGAGCTTGGAGTATTCATCTGTTAAATTTGAATTTGAGCATCACAAGAAGCCTTACAGAGCATCATCACTTTATCAATTCATATCATGATTTAGGCAGATTACACTCGTGATATTCCATTTGTGATCTTAAACCTTTAGTTGTAGATCATAATGATCTTTATTATTATTATTATTATTATTATTATTATTATTATTATTATTATTATTATTGTAATTGAGATGTTTTATTCCTAATTTTTACTGTTTGCAGCAACAAAAATTATGGTTCATATTAAAAAAAAATTAAAGTTATATATCGACGTCTTAATCTACATCAAGTAATAATATATATTGCCCAACAAAATCTTACAAGCAAATTTGAATATGAGTTCATTTTGGTAGGATGTTAGATCCCGATTTAATCTTACGATCGTGATTTTTTTAATACATAAAACAATCTTATGTAAGATCTCGATCTTAACAGTCTTGACAAATATCATCTTCAGTCAATTTTCAAACAAAAATACATGATTTTTATTAGTTTATAGTTTATAACACCAATACTCACTATAATACCCAAGTTCCGAATACAAAAAAAAAAAAAAAAAAAAAAAAAAAAGGTTTTCGGTTTGTCCAAGCTGAATAAATGTGTTGAAGAATGATAATAATTAGTTTGTAAGAAAAAATGCAATCGAGAAAGTCAAATGCTGAATTCATTTATATACCTTATTACAAAATAAAATTAAATTGGATATTTGCATCAAAGTTGGTCCAAATTTCGACATGTTGTGTGTTGAAAAAGCAGCAATAGGTAGTTATTAACATGGTGTTGGTCTTGTATAGCAGCCACAAACCAAAAGTCCCCACATGACCTTTCATGAAGGTCTTACCTTCTTCACATCAATGTTGGATGTGCATGTTATGTATGTTACTGTGCCATGTGCATTTAATTAATATGTCTCTTTTAGTTCATCTTCTTCCCCATAGAATCGTGGACCATGTCCTCTCATTGTTACATACTAACATACCCATTTTAGGCATCTCATAACATATATACATATCCGTTACATAAGACATGACATGGCATGACAAACACTGCAAAAACCATGATATGTAGAGCATAGCGAAGCACCAGAGCCGTTTATATAGACAAGTGAGAGAAATACAATAGTGCGATTGTAAAAATAAATAAATAGATTAATGAGAGAAGAAGATTTATGAAACTAAATAAGTTTACACACAATGTAAAAATAAATAATTTTTTTTAACAAAATGAAAAAGTTGGTTGGGGTAGTAACAATGTTACTAACAAGGTGTTAGTCTATGAACAGAATAATTAAATAAATTGGAGAAACACATGAATATGTGAAAAGAAAAAAAAAAAAAAAAAAAAAACAATTTGAGAATCAAAATGTACTGCTGCTTTCGCTTTCGCTGACAGAGATTGAAGGGCCTTCAGATTTGACAAGATGAGGATTTGGTAGTCTGCCTCTGCTGCTGCTGATATCCAGTCCCTGGAAGCGGCCCAGTGGATCCTGCTGCTGTAGGTGGGTGGCAGCAAGTAGAGGATGAGACTGGTGGTGGTATTCTTGATGTTGTTGATGGTTTGTAAAGAAGTTTGATTGGTGGTTGTAGGGGGAATGGTGTTGATTTTGATGCATTCCAAGATTGTAACCATCTGAACAGCTTGCTATTTCTCCTGTTGCCATTCTCAGTCTTTCTACTTCTTGCTTCAGTGCCTCGTTCAGAGCTGTGTATATGTTTTATAAAAACAGTCGCATGAATGCAAGAAATAACATTGCGTAATTTGAAAAGTTTGATGGCATAATAAACAAATCCATTAATGTTTTGGGCCTTACCATCGCGTAAATGAGCTTGTTGTTCCATAGCTTGTAATCGCATTTTAAGCTCTGTGTTTTCAGAAGACAGGCCAGTTGTATCCCTCTGTATAATCAAAAGTTTACAATTTATAAGCCATAAAACCAAGAATATCAAAATAAACAGGTTTACAAAATGAGCATCTATCTAGGTATAAAATTTGATAAGATTCACGGTGTGTGTTTATATAAAAAAAAATCACCTGAAAGAGAGTCAACTGTGCTGAAAGTGTGGTTGCTTCTGTTTGCAGGGTTTGAACTTTTCTCTCAAGTTCAGACATGTATCGTGCCTTCCTCTCTTTCGAACGAGCAGCAGATTGTCGATTTGCCAAAATCCTGTAATTGTATTTGCATTTGTATGCTACAAACCATTAGATGATCTGAAGCTTCTAAAGGATTAACAACTAGCAAATCATGATGAGGCTCTTTATCTTAATATAAAATTTCTCTTATCATCTTTTGTTTTCACAACTGGTGAACTTGGAGGTTGTTGAAAAGAAGTCTATTTGAATTATTCATATTTGTGATACACCTTTTTTTTTCTGATACATCAGGACTACCTTCATGCCATTGTTCAACCGATCAGCAGACTTGTAAAAGTTTACAAATGTGCAAACTTGGGAATCAAAACTTTGACAATCACCACAAACAAGTTTCTGCTTACATTTGGTAAAAAATATTACAAGCCTTTTTTATTATACTAATATGTTACTTATTTAACGATTATTTCTGATGACTTGTTCATATGGATGATAACCTGTTAATCCGGCAGCCAACTAAAGTTATAAAAAAAATCCAATTTAATATATCCTGATGGATTGAAATCCAAATCCAAATATCGTGCTTTCATCTTTCTATAATACACGATCGCATCAGTTGATCAATTGGATTTAACTAAAGCATTAGATTTGCAAAGATCCGCATGGAATTAGCTTCCTACGTTTTATCTCACCGTTGACCGCTCCATCCATATCTTAAAGCAGTAAATCAAATTACTGATAGCAATAAATTTAGCATACCTCTTAGCTCGTTTGGGATCAACAGTCCACAATTCAGCAAGTTTATCAGGAGCCATTGCCTTCTTAGCTTCTATGCTTTCACTCAAAAAACTCGAACTATCCACTGAATTACTATGACGATGTCGAGGTCTAGTACCGGTCCTTTCTCCATCATCACCGCCACCGTTATGATCCTCTGAAGGCCCACCACCGCCACCAGCATTGTTGATCCGACCGTTATCCAGAGCACCGCCATCGTTCAAATTGGATCCGAGCTTCTCAATGTCCATGTAAGTACAAAACAGATCTTCCTCAGATCCTAGCTCTTCGAAGCTTTCAGACGGTGCATCGTATGGGTCTGAGGCCAGATCTAGATCATCCGGTAGCCTGAAGTTCACCTCGGAGTGTGCTCGTCGATGGTGAGACGGCCTAAACGGAAACGCCGCCGCATTTTGCGGCTTAGAATTTAGATTCGACGGATCTTGCATTTCAACCAGTCGCGTAGAGTCTTCACCTTCTCTCTACAAAATCCTGTTTGTTTGTGTGTTTTCAGTTGTTTGCTTGTCTGAGGCAGAAGATGATGGGGGTTGTCTGGATCTCGTTTGTAATTAGATAATTCGGGTCGGCTTCTCATTTATTTGGTTTAGTTGACTTGGGCTAATGGGCTTACCGCTTACGGGCTTAGTGCAATGAACCGGGTAGGGTTGGTTTCTTCAATCATACAATTATAAACACAACGTTTTTGGGCTAGAAAGGCCAAAAGTCCTTTGTTACATTTCATACTGGGCCAGTGGGCCTATCACTATCCATCTTACCTGCTCCATATCAGGTGGCTTATTTGATTAAATTCTAAGAAAGACAATGTAACTCAACTAAAATTAAGAGATGTAAGATATTAGTGAAATTAGAATTCAAAGTTCTTGTCCTTTGTGATTAAATTTTAAGAAGGATGATGTAACTCAACTAAAATGAAGAGATGTAAGAGATTAATGAAACTAGAAATTAAATTTCTTGTCCAATTTAATCCAGATGACAAAATAAATAAATTGAAACAGCTTGATTATCGGGTTAGAATGTCAACGATAAGTTCTTGTCCAATTTAATCCAGGTGATAAAATAAATAAATTGTAACAGCTTTACTATCAAGTTGGAATGTTAACGATGTTATTTATCAAATATCAAACATAATTAATAAAATATTAGTCAATATATAACGATGGTTCTCTACTAGTTTTCATATATATGAAAACAATCTATTAGTATTATTGCTAATCCTACACAGCATTCTTAATATATGATACAGACAGGTAAAATCAATGTTAAGTAATTAATTTCAATTGTTGAAATTGTTTTCTTAATACTACACGTCATTCTTAATATACGACATAGACGGGTGAATGTTCTAACAAACAAAATAAGTATAAATTTCAATAGAAGATATATCATTGAATATATTATATGTTTGTTTATTTCGACTATTATTAAAATGTGTCAAACCCCACGAAAAATGTATTTATGTAAAATTATCCTATAGTATCTAACTATCTGTTTTCGCATTAAAATAAGATTGTCATTGGACATGTTCTTGTGAAAAGAATATGTTTAAACATGTTATACGGGTATAATAATATTTAAGAAGATCTTTAATTTTGTACCAATTCAAGTTAATTCAATATATAGCCTTCCTTGCAATTTTAATTTTAATACTTCAAATGAAAAATTACACAAAAGAAAGGGGACTTTCGTAAAAGTTCAAAAGTTAAGAAAGACGTGTGAGGTTTAACAAATAGACGTTTATCTTACCATTATATATGAATTGGATGGACTAATATTTATTGTCCAATTAATTTGTTATCCATAACATTTTTGTGATTTTGTCGCTATATTTAGATTTGGACTGCATGATAATTACATGCAAACAAATATTATATTATCGTGTACTTTTTGCAACTTCAACTTACCAAAAATTTGATGATAAATATTGCATGAAATCCGACCGTTCGTTTAGGAAGAAGACTCCTTCTATCCGCTTCTTAATTTTCATGTCTTTCCAAGTCATCTGATCACGACCCAGTCACTATAAATTCCACCCTAATTAAGCTCCCCATATCCAATAACATCTGTACAAACACCACACCTCCTACAAGGAAGAGATCCACCGCCGACCACCACCGTAAGCGATGGTATGTTTGGGTATTCGTTACGGACTTAGCAAATCCACTGCTGCTTTCTTTAACGATCGACGGGATCCGATTTCCGGATTCAAACGCCTTCATTCTCCCTCAATCCCCAAAGTCGCCGTTAAAAATAATGTGCAGAGAATCTCGGCTGTGGCGGCGGTTGTTTCCGATCGTCGTGTTTCTAATCAGGTTTCCTTTTCCATCGACGCAGACCTAATGCTGGCTAACAGATTCGTAAACGACGATAACGAGTTTGATAATCGTGCTACCGAGATCTCTAGTGTTCCGGACAAATTCGAGGAGTGGATTGAAGGTTCCGTTACGGAAATTGTGAAGAACATAACACAAGCGCCGTTGCTGCTTCAGATATACGCCAACGGCGAGGTGAAAACGAAGAAGGCGGTGAAAGCTGAAAGCTGGCTGGACGTGATTACAGAATCGTCTTCGCCAGACGGAATCATCCTAGTGGAAGAGCTATCGGAGAACAGAGATCATATATCAGAGCGTGAATTCAACGAAAAAGACGGGACTAGGGCTTTTGGAGTACTGATTCAAGGTAAAATCAAAGGAAGAGATGACTGTAAGTCCGCATGCTATTTATTGAAAACAAGCAGCTTTAATGGTGGAGAGATAGGGTTGATTTGCAGCCATTTTTGTTTGATGAAGGTGAAGAACTTCTGGGAAAGTGCATCCTCGCAGTTGAATAGTTGTTGGCTGGTATAATGAAGGCCATATCCATATGGAATTTTATGGACAGTTTTAGGTGTAAATAATATAATATCGAAATAGAGTAGGGGTATACTGTAATAAACATAATTTGTTTGTTAAATAGTAAACAGTGAAATTGATTTTTTAAATTCTTATTCCGTGAGAGAATAAAAATATGTTAGATTGGCAAAAGCCATATTTTAAAGTTTGAAGATTTCAATAATTAAATAATTATTGTTAACGGTATTACTAGAGGTGCATAAACCGAACTAATATTCTATTACAAAAAACGTAACTTGATTATATCTTATCGACTCACAATCAATTTGATCCAGTTTCATCAAAAACCGGTGTCTCTTTTATCCGGTTTTGAATCGGATCCAGATCCAATATGTACAAGTGTTAAAAATTATGTGACATTTTTAAAAATATAGTGTATCAAACATAACTCACTTTAGTAATATGGTCGTAGAATTTTTCTCATGTTTTGGTTGTTGTCATGTGTTCTATATATGATGAATTTATAATTCCTTTTAGTTATTCTTGCAAATATACTCATCAAGATTAGTCATATATGTTTGTTATTATAGTTATAAATTTTATATTGAAATCTTAAACTTAATTAGCTTCGAATCCATATAAAATGTACATGCTACATAGCACACAAACACAATCCAAAGAGAATTAATGTTTGGGATAATGACTTGAAAGGGTAACGAACTTTTGATTTTTTCACATTTAGTCACTAAATTTTTTTTCGTTATCTATTTGCCATTGAACTATTGAAACTGTTTACATTTTATCCTTATGACCGGCTGTTACCGATCATAAGGGTAAAATGTGAACAGTTTCAATAGTTTAGTGGCAAATAGATAACGAAAAAAAGTTTAGTGACTACATATGAATAAAATCGAAAGTTCGTTTCCCTTTAAAAAGTTAAATGACTAAATGTGAACAAACTTCCTCTTGTATTATGTTTTAGCAAATTGTTTATTTTTGTTTAATTGTAGCAACATTTGTTGATGAAGAAATCTATGAAATAAAAAAAAACAAAACCCTGAAATATATTTAAAAAAAAACAAAAAAACGAAAACGAAATAAAAAACCAATGGTTTGACATTTTCCGAAATAAAAAATCAAAATTTCCAATTTGATTTTGGTTTTACAAAAAAATGAATCATTCTCACTGATGTGAATTATGACCATTGGTTTGGCATGCGAAATTTATGACATCTCATGAATACGTAGTTACAACATCGTCTGAACTCGTAATTCATAGTAAGAGGTTATAGTATCATCGCATGAATACGTAGTTACAACATCGCCTAAACTCATAATTCATCACCTACAGGTTATGAGTCTACTGCTGTTTCCACTGGGTTGTGTAGAATAGTCCGTGGTCGCCATCTATACTCTGGTAGACTACATCGCCACATTGCCGGTTAAGGTTATGGTATCTCCTTTCATCATACATCATCTATTCATCATCATCTATTTACCTAATTATCATCACCTATCTCTCATCATTTTATTTCATCACACACCAACTATTTTATCTACCCATGTTTCATCCGCAACATATTTGTAGATATAAAATAAATATACAGTTTAAATCTTTTAAAACATGTATAAAATCGTTCATCCAGCATAGACATCAAGTATTTAAATAATATGCACACATAGCACGTAATTTATATAAAATATTTCATATCTATGTGTAAGATGAAAGTAACTATATATACCATAAAAATCCCATAAATGCTTCTTAACTTCAAACCCTAAGGTTTACTCTACTAAAGCTTCATATTCTCGGCTCTCTGGACCTAGGAGGGTCCATATTCCTAACTTCAAACCCCTAAGGTTTACTCTACTAAAGCTTCATATTCTCGGCTCTCTGGACCTAGAAGGGTCCAGATCTATAACACAAACTTGCAAGAGGGGTTTGAGGCATTCAAAACACCAAAGATGAAGTGATTCAAGCCCTAACCCCAAAATGGAATCTACACAATAGTGAAGGAAAGGGGTTCAGTTTTGTACCTCGGAATGAAGCTCCTTGCTTGAATAACTCAGAACAATAACCTTCCTTGGTCCCTCTTGCTGGAACTCTTCTTTTTTCTTGCAAAATCAATCCAAACAAATCAAGATAGCTCTTCCTCTCACTCTACACACTTAAGCTCGTTAGGGTTCTCAATTATGGGAAAGGTAGTCGCAATTGAAGGCCATAAGTGCCTTTAAATATGGCTCGGGCCCAAAGATTTACCATTTTGGCCAACAGCGCGGACTCGTCTAGTCGCCTCACCGACTCGTCGAGTCTATTCATTAATCCGAGTCATCAGTAGCGACCTTACTCGACGAATTGAGGCGTCAAATCGTCGAGTCTCTCTTATTAACTAAAAAAAATACTTAAATTATGATACCTGGAAATCCGGATGTTACATTTTGTTTTTTTTATTTCATAGATTTCTTCATCAAGAAATGTTGCTACAATTAAACAAAAATAAATAATTTGCTAAAAATAATACAATAAGAAGTTTTTTGACATTTAGCCATTGAACTTTTTAGAGGGAAACGAACTTTCGATTTTGTTCACATTTAGTCACTAAATTTTTTTTCATTATCTATTTGCACTAAACTATTGAAACTTTTCACATTTTACCCTTATGACCGGTAACAGCTGGTCATAAGGGTAAAATGTGAACAATTTCAATAGCTCAATGGCAAATAGATAACGAAAAAAAGTTTAGTAACTAAATGTGAACAAAGTCGAAAGTTCGTTACCCTTTCAAGTCATTATCCCTTAATGTTTTAGCGCCAACATATGGACTCAAAAATATACCTACTAAAATCAAGTCTAGAATACTATCAAGTGTAATATTGTGTAATAAAATCTTTTAGTAGGTGTACGAGGTATTTGATTGTCGGTATTCAAATTCTTTAAGCTATTAAAACACTGTTAGACATTTCTTGATAAAATAATAATCAAGTATGAATATGCTCGAGGGAAGTTACATTATTTACGTAAAAGTGCGTAAATACTTAAACTATTTATAATAAGGTCTTTATGATTATTATAAGTTATATACTTAATGCAAATTACAATACTAACTAATTTTATTTTATTTTTTAAAATAAAATTAGATGCTTCATGGTAACTCTCAATACCATCAATGACTCAGACGGTGATACTCGTTGGATCGTCTTCAGTGACTTCAACACAGTCAGATCTCCGTCAGAGAGATTAGGATCTCATTTTGCCGATCAACTGCAGACCACTTTAAAATTTTCATATCACAATCAGGATTAATAGATATTCAATTGGGCGGTAGAAGATTCACATTCATGAGCACGGATGGATCCAAACATAGTAAGTTAGATCGCTTCATGGTAACTCTCAATACCATCAATGCCTGCCACAACTAATTTTTTTTTACATACATCGGGTCATAAGTCCGTAACTCCTTTAATTTTTCACACATGGTTGACACTTACATTTTGAGGGTGCATGATATTTTATTTTTTAAAAAGGATTTTTGTAAGATAATAAAAAAAGATTTATTGAGATTTATAAAGGTGTAAAAATGAGATTATATATATATATATATATATATATATATATATATATATATATATACACACACACACACTAGCAAGGGTTATGGGTCGTGCTTAGCACGGCCCACAAAGTGTAATTTAGATATATTTCCAACAAACAATATTGAATTCAAGATGTGATGATGATATTTAACTTCATACATATTCGAGAAGTCGATGTTCCATATGGTAGTACATTAGTAGAATGCTATGAGATGGACAACAGTGAATTCTATTTTTAACAAAAGTGATGTTTTGACAGAAGGTGTTCATCAATTTCTAACTTCCAAAAGAGTTGAAAATTTGAAGCACTTTCAAGTATGCAGTGTTGTCCGATAACAGCTTTGTCGATGCAGTTCATTCCATTCCATATCTACATGGTCTTTTCAAAATGCAAAAGATTAGGGAATCTTCTTGTTCGTTCCATTCCATATCTACATGGTTTTTTCAAAACGCAAAAGATTGGTGATTCTTTTGTAGGTTTGATTCTTATTTGGTTCTTTTAGTTGGCCTTGGTGCACCAACTGTTGAACCATGAACTTCCTTAAGTGGATGGAATTCTGACTGGGATCGTTTTTTAGTATGTTGATTAGATGCTCGTTTAAGTGCTTCTTGTTGATCTCGTGTGGCTTGAGAATGATAGCAGGAGTAACTGTCACTATTTCCTTCTCTTCTGGTTTATGTTGATCGGTTTCTTTAACATGAGTTACTTCACCATCTGTTGAACCTGCGATTTCCTTCAACAGTTGCACTTGTAGTTAGGTGTCCTTCCGACTCTGTTCATAACATTCTTCCTTGATTGCTTCTTGTTCAGTTGGGCGTGGCTTCAGAATGGTAGGTTGAGTAATTGTGGCTATTTCCTTATTATCTGGTTTGTGTTGATCAGTTTCTTGAGCACCACTTCCTTCGATAAGGTTGTTGTCTTTTGTTTTATGTGCCTTCACAATGACATATCTTGTTGTGGATTTCCTTTGGTGCGAAGTTGTGTACGATCTGTGACATCCCCAAAATCTCGGCCAGAAAAGACCGATTTTCATTTATGCTTTTAAAATAATTTCAGAGTAAATCCTTTTGATTTGAAAGAGTTGCGGAATTTGTTCCCCAAAACAAAACATGATAAAACAATGTTTACCCAAGCATTTCATAAAAGAAATGTATTTTCATTATATAATCAAAACTCGGGGTGTCATGTTCTGATACAGACCAATAAGCATAAATGATAACATTACAAGTCATTCAACAAATATATACATATACAGACTTGTAAACAAAATAACTTGATGGTTCATCCATCTTATGCCCGTGCGCCACTTCCTGTAATACAAATAAAACTGAGTGGGTTAGGCTTGGGAGCCTGGTGAGCATATAGAGTTTTCAACCCAAAATAAACAATTAAATTAATTATTAT